GACGCATGCATGCGTGTGTGATCCTTGGATGCTCAATTTGACCCTTGGGCGCATTCCAAGAGCCGTGTACAACACGGAAGGGTCCCGTTAGCTCACCCAAGGGTCCCGGCTTGCAGGGCGATCCCATAGCATCTTTGGAGGACCCATGCTGCTATGTCGACTTTTGTCAAAGTGATCTGAGGCTCGTGTCAATGCTGAAGTTCGAAAGCGTGCTGAGACAGCTTTGCTGAACATGGTACCCAAGAACTTCTTTGCATGCGGCCTGACGACAGACTATTCCATGGAGTGCTTGAACTTTCTGCGGAGATACTTCGATGTCGAGGATCCCGACCCCGCTATCACGAGCAGGGCTCTTGAGCAGTTTGACAAGAAGATGCGCCGACTTTTTTGTGATGGACAGATCCTGGCGCAAACTGGGACCCCAAACAAGTCCATTACACAGATCGTGTACGAGGAAGTTCAGGAGCCTGAGCCGCATCTTGACTTGACTGCTTCCATGGACATGGATGATGATGGTTGCTGAAGATTGACCATGTACGGCAGATTGGTGCCCTTGAACTGAGGTTGTTCTATGGCCACAAAGTTCATCACTTGTGCACCAGAGCTGGTGTGGATGACATCCGCAATCTGATGGGTAGCATGGCTACTGTTGTAGAATCCATGCTGAGGCGATTGCGGGTCGACTTTCTGGAGGACGGAGTAGCCAAGGCTCTTCGTGGGTTCGACATCCTTGCTTGGTCCGATCAACAGCAGCATGATGCATTGAAGCAGGCATGCTGTGACCTTGCTCGCTTGCTTCAGCTGCCCGAATGGGCTGGCAAGGAGTTGGGTGTTCTGGCCAGAAGGCGCCTCTTGCCATACCTGCAGACGGCAAAAGCCCAGAAACTCGATGTCGACAATCGTTTGGCTTGGAGCTGGATTGTCTTGCCCGAAGGCCGTGCCAAGTTCCTAGGCACCAACGTCGATGTCGGGCCGCATGTCTTGCACATGATCTTCTTCTACCTCAGCCTGCACATCAGCACAACTGAGGTAGAACGGTCCCTCGGCATGACGCTGTCGCAGTTAGAGGCACACAGCGGACCGTTGTCGCAAGACGGCAGCACGGTGGCAGCGCTCGTGGAGCTGCGCTGCAACGGGCCACAGACTCTGGAGGAAATGTTCACGAAGGTTCGCTTGCCCTCAGGTGACACCAGGCTCGAACCGACTGACTTCTCCAGAAGGTGTGCCAAGCTGTGGGTTCAGATGTTTGGCCGGAGGTTCATGTGCAAGTATGGGTCAAAAGCTTCTGGGGATGCCAAGTCGCTGTCGCAGTCGGGGTCGGCCAGCACAAAGACAAGAGCAGGCACTTTGGCGCATGTGCAGAGCAGCCGAAATGCAGCATGCCACGTGCTTGCTAGGAAGAAGCGGCAGCCGTTGCTGTCGTATGTCCCAGAGCTTTCGCTTCCTTTGAAGCGGCCAGCACCACCTCCTGGAAGCCTTGCAGGTTCCCGATGGCAGACGCCAGGTGCTGGTCCTCCGTGTGCCAAGAAGCAGAAGACCCGTGCGGACCTGTTTGACGAGCACACGGAGCGCAAGAGAGAGCGCTGCTTATCTGAATCATGTTCTTGCGCATTCTGTGCTCTGCTGGAACGTTCTCGGCTGAGTGCTGGTGCTTGTCAAACCAAGGACATATCGCTGTCGCAGAGCGCCGTGATGCTGGGGAGGTGGCCTACTGTCCGGGTCCCCTGAAAACAGCAGAATGGTCCAGGAGTCGCGACGTGACGGCAATTCCACTGCCTGCATCGGCAAGTGCAAAGACCACGCGGCTCCTGCCCATCTACAGGGTCTACTCGGACAGTCCACGGCTAAGGGCCCCGGCAGGTTGCATGACTCTTGCGCTGATGTCACCTGAAAGTGCTGACATTGTGGTGTTGAAGAGCCTGGCTGACCTGGATCTCGACGACAACGCCGAGTTGGTCAGGGCCCCAGCATCGATGTCGGCAGCTTGCATTTTGCGGCGACCCTAAATAAACCTTAAACCTATTACTCCTAAACCGTCATGCCCTGTCAGTTTTGACTCTTCAACTTCAACCTTTCATTGACATTGGCAGCTTCGCCTCTCAAACCTGTGGGAAGTTAGCAAGGCCTTGGCCCCAGCCATGACAGGAATGAGCATTCCTGCCATCCCTGCGATGATGGGGCACATGTTTGACGAGTGGGGAGGACGCGTGGCCCAGACAACTCGCGACCTGCTGAAAAAAAGCCTTGGCACCTCGGACATACAGATTCCAGAGTTGCGTCTGGGCACAGACTGCTCGGGGCTAGACGCTCCCGTGCACGCATTGACTGCTTTGAAGATCGCTCACCGTCACTTGTACAGTTGTGAGTGTGACAAGGCAGCACGATCAATGATCATAGCCAACAGCCTGCCGGAGCATGCCTTGCTCTGGAATGTGTGCGACTCGCTGTCGGAGAGAGTGCCACATGTGGACTTGTATGTGGCAGGATTTTCTTGCCGACCATTCTCGATTCTGCATTGGCAGACTAAACTCTTGGAAGAACCTGATGCAGACTGTTTCTGGGGGGTTCGGAACAGGATCCGGCTGAACCAGCCAGCATGCTTCTGTCTCGAGAATGTCAAAGGCATACAGAGATGCATGCAGGAAGTTGTCGAATCGCTGTCGGACTGCGGGTACCAGGTTTCTCTCATATTGACAAATCCAGCCGACCTGGGTTACCCAGTCCAGCGACCTCGGTATTACTTCCTCGGGGTGCGCCTTGACCTGGTCAGGCTTTCCAAAACAGAAGCACAGCAAATGGTTTTGGACATGTGGCAAGGATATCAGGCAGCGGCTCCACGCAAAAACTTGAAGGAGTTTTTGCTCCCGGCTTCCCATAAGTTGGTGAAGGAAAACCAAGAGTGGAGACGGGCCAGGTGGCAACAGGCCTGTGCCAACGGCTTTGGAAAGGACCCGAAGTCGCAGCCCAAGTGGCTGGCAAGGCATGAGGCAGTGAAGAGACAAGCTTCGGAGGCAGCATCACCTGCGACGGCAATGCCGGATGCAGACAAAATGTTTCTTCACCTGGCACGTCACAGGGATGCGTATGCCCACGTTGTGACGCAGCTGCCAGCGAAGGCTGTGGATGTCGTTGTCGATGTCTCACAGAATCTGGGGCGCATGCCTCTCAGAACAGATGGCACATGCCCAACAGTAACCCCAGGTGCAGAGCTGCTGGTCAAGTCGGCAGAGAGGGCCTTGATCCCCATGGAGAAGCTGTCCCTGCAAAACTTCCCGTTGCATCGGCTGCGGTTCCCCGACTCGTTGCCGCCTCGTGCCCTGGAGAAGCTTGCGGGCAACAGCATGCACACGGAGGTTGTGGGTTGTGCCATGCTCCTGACGTTGATCTTGGTCGACTGGTCTCACGCGAACGCACGTTGCAATCCCAAGGGGGCTGGCAGCAAGGCTCTAAGGACTAAGGCTGGCAGGGCTACCCGAGGCAAGATGCTGCAAGAGAAGAACAGAGCAGCACGTCCCACAAGGAAGTCCAGCAGCAAGTGCAGAAGGGCAGCTCGAAAGATTCCTGTCAAGGCAACGACGAGGAAGCCCAAGCAGGAAAGGGTGGCTCGAAAGAGAAGTCTTGTCGTTAAGGCAACGAGGAAGCCCAAGCACATCAACTCCCTCACAGGAACACGCTGGGCCTGAGGCAAGCACAATTCGTCGTGGCAGTGCATTTGCTTCGATTCTGAAATTATTATTAGATTGTGCGAGTATGCATCAAGGAAATTAGAGTTGCAAGGCCAGGTGCCGGTGCAACATCGGTGCCTGCGACTACCACGTCACTTGATCGCTGTTCTTTGTGAGTCAAAATGAAGCCAGTTCCAGCACTGCCTCTGTGGTCGAATCATGTTGCCTGAGCTTGCATTGTCATTGTCATTGTTGCTGCTGGACGAAGCCTGACTTCCATCTAATTTGGCCGAGGCTGCTGCGCTACTGCTCTGCATCGGCCAGGGCGCAGCCGTGGTGGCCAAGGCGGATGTCGAGACAGCCTCCAGGCGTGAATGGCAGGGAGGAAGCTTTCTCTGGTTCAAGCCAGCTTGCTCTACCTGGCGGCTTCACATCCAGTTGCAGGGAGAGGTGGCTTCGTGGCTCGCCTTGGAATAATAAGTCTTCTTTACTGAGCAAGGAGCAAGAATCAGAAGTTCTTGTTCAGTTGCGTTTCTGGTGTGAAGCAGTTGCTGCTGTGCAGCTCAGGTGTCTCCGGGTGTGTTCAGCCTTCAAACACCTCTCGAAGATGAAGGGTAGCAGATGGACGGTTCAGATTGGCAGTCAACAAGGCAGCCAGGTTTCGGGGAACGGTTCCTGTAAGAAAGCCACGCAGAAGAAGCTGGCTTCTTGGCAGGAGTTTTGGTCATTCCTGCGGTCCATACGCACCCTGCGACATTCGCGAGGGTTGTCGGGCCAATTCATGGGCAGGAAGCCGTTGGAGTAGGGATTGCTCCGGATCGCTGTCGGTTGCTCTGCACATTCCGAAGGGGTGCCGTCTGGAGTCGTGCAGACAGAAAAGAGAGACTGAGAAGCCATTTTCTGCCCACTGCAATACAGCCAGTAGGTTTAAACCGTGCCTGTGTATTGCACAGTGGAATCCACACTCGATTTCCCAGGTCCTGCAATCCGGAATTTGGCCGGGGCCTTGAACATGTATTACAGACTCAGGGTTTAAACCTGCTGGGTGTACCATGAAGTGGAATGCACAGGCCTTTTCACTAATACACACTTGATTTGAGCAACCAGCTCCGCGACCTGTCTGGGAACACCCAAGGGTCAGTTTTAGCATCTAAGGGTCAAGTGTGCACCCAAGGGTCAATTTTGACATCCAAGGGTCAAGTAAAGGTAACTGCCATCACCCAAGGGTCAAATTTGACATCCAAGGGTCAGTAAACGAATAAGTGCTACACCGAAGGGTCAAATGCTACATCTAAGGGTCCAAGTAACGCTGTTCCTGCATGACCACTGAATAGAATGAAAATTAAACGGAAAGAAAGCCTGGCTTCTGTGATAGCCAACCGAGGTCAGGATCGCCCTGATGTTCTCATCCTGGTTGATGCAGGCCCCACCCCCCGGCGATTGCGAGCATTGGTTTCAGATTTGCGTGGTTGATACTGTCGCATTGGGATGATCGTAATTGACAAAGCTTTTGATTCTTGCTGGGGTTGAAGATGTGTTGCGTTTCTCTTTCTAATGAAGCTGGCAGATCCAGGGACTGCAATCCACACTGCCTTGTGTCTTGCTGGTTGAGTGACTGTGCAGTCTCAGTCTTTGCCTGCCACAGAGAGCCTCAGCATGTGCCGCGAGTGTGGCAATCGGTTCTACGATTTGTGTTGCAGCCAGACTTGAATCTGAATATCGGCTTCGGCTTACCGCTGCCTGGCAGTGCTCGACTTCAGTTCGTCAGTGTCCCCACAGATGATAAGTTCAAGTCGTCCATGTTTCATTTCGGTGAGGTTTGCTGCAGTCGCAGAATTAAGGCCAGCAGCCTGACCGCTGAATCTTTTATTATAATTAATAAAGCGGCTTACTTCAATTATTATTAAATATCAGGTTCAGTGTCAGAATATTGAGATTAGGCCTTGGCATTGGGATTCAAATATAATATAGAGGAAGGGCGCCTGGTGCTTGCTTCTTTTGGCATTTGTTCTGCCATGGGCAAGCGCACGAGTCTGGGAGACGTTGAAGAGCCGAATAAGAAGGCCAAGTCCGCAGACAGCCAGGCTGTCCCGGACGACGTCGACAAGGACAAGACTCAGAAGGCCAAATCCGCAGGAGCTGTCAATGACGTCCTCGACAAGGAGAAGACTCAGAAGGCCAAATCCGCACGAGCTGTCGCTGTCGCTGAAGGGGTGGCTCCTGTGGCTAGGCGGCCCTTTGCCATATTCATGGCCGAGAACAGCAGATTGCGAGGGGTCAAGGGGGCAACTCGCCAAGAACACGAAGAGGAGATGAGGCGCCTCGGCCGTGCATGGAAGTCCCTGCCGCTCTCGCAGAAGCAGAAGTACCAGCAACAAACCACCGAGGAGTTTGCCACACAAAGGCTTGCTTTGAAGGAAAATGGTTTGAGGTACCGCACCTCTGTGGCTCCGGAGTCGGAGGCTATTGAGCAGCAGGAGGATGCCAAGCCTCCTGCCCCTACAAGGCGGGTACGCGGAAAGCAGGACATGTCGCAGCCAGAGGACGTATTTGTGGGCCCATACAAAATTCTGGAGCAGCTGGGCAGTGGTACCTACTCCAGTGTTGTGCTGGGCCGGAATGCAGATGGGATATTTGCAGCTGTGAAGGTATACCGTCAAAGAGACGGTCGCGCCGAGATGCAGTATGAGAGTGGCGTCATCTCAAAACTGCAGCAAAAGGTGCCACTGCAGCTGCGAAGTCTGCTGCCGAGGATTATGCATTGTGAGGGCCGGTCGCGCCCGTTTCCTTGGATGGCCATGGAGCACATGGGCCCTAGTTTGAGCCGTGTCTTAGAGCAGAACGGTGCGCTTTCAGAGCCACACCTTGCAGCAATGACACGGCAGCTGCAGGCTGCCCTTGAAAGTATCCATGCAGCAGGCATACTGCACCTCGACGTGAAGCCAGCGAACATCCTTTGGCTGCACTCGTTGTCGAGACTGACGCTGGTGGACTTCGGAATGGCTGTCGCTGTCGGAAGCAAGACTCAGGAGCTCCGATACGAGGTGTACTGCACAGCACTGTATCGGGCTCCTGAGATGTTTCGGGCAAGCGCTGTCGAGATCGCTGTCGTACTGAGCCCAGCTCTGGACATATGGTCGTGGGGCTGCACAATCTTCGAAGCAGCCACAGGATCCCCGCTCATGCTCCCACTTTCGGGACGCAATGTCGAGCCAGTTGTGCAATGCTGGTGCAAGCTGGTGTCGACTAGGAGCGGCAAGATGTCCCAAGATCCTGGGCCGCTCGCCTCCAGGCTGCGTACGCGGCTCTCGCGTTGCGGCCGTTACCAGGGCCTTGTCAAGAAGGCGCTTATGCCTGTGGCAGAGCAGCGGGCATGGACCAATGCCTTAACGCTGCAGGCCTAGGAGGCTCGCTGACTGTCGGAGACTGCGATGTCGCTGTC